CCCACCCCCCCCCTCCCACTCTCACCAGCATCCCAGCACACCGCCCCCTCCGCCCCGATCGCCTTATTCTCTTGCACAGCTGTGCTCTAGAGCTCGGACATCTTTATTTTCGTCGTTCGTCGTGTCGTTCGCCCCCCTCGCTCCCCCCCCTGTCCACGCTTCCCAGGGTAGCCCCCCTGGGCCACGGAACCCTTTATTTTCGTCGTTCGTCGCGTCGTTCGCCCCCCTCGCCCCCCCCCCGCCCCCCTCGCCCCCCCCCCTGTCCACGCTTCCCAGGGTGCCCCTCGCCCCCTCCCCTGTCGCGCTTCCCAGGGTAGCCCCCCTGGGCCACGGAACCCTTTACTTTCGTCGTTCGTCGCGTCGTTCGTCCCCTCGCCCCTCCCCGCCCCCCCTTCGCCCCCACCCCCTGTCCGCGCTTCCCAGGGTAGCCCCCCGGCTCTTGGGGAACCACTGAGGCACTCTTGGCCGAGGCCTAGAAACAAAACCAGACCAGGCCCCAGAAATCGTCGTCGTCGTCGTCCTCCTCCTCCGCTTTCTTCCTGGACCCTCCTAAACCCCTCCTGGAGGAAGGAGGCGAGGGCCCCCTGTCCTTCGCAGCTCCTTTGTGCAAGAGCCAGGGCACGCGTGCCACTTGTATTCTGCGCACTCGTCCATCCTAAATATGAAATCATACCATCCCAGCTAGGCCGGTCCCCCCCCTGAGGTCCCCTTGTAAAAAAAACACTATGCGGTGACATTGCTTGTTCTAACATAGCACTTTTCACGAATCCCTTGCAACAAAAATGAAACGAAAAGCACACGCGCGCGTCGTCGCGCGCGCATGCCGACATCCTTCAAGAACCTTCGGCGCGGGAAAGATTTCGCAATCGAGCTTCCCCCAAAAAAAAAACATAGAAACACACGCAGGGTTTCGCAACGCAGAATTGCTAAAACAGCTTCCGCGAAAGCTCTTGCGAAATCTTCAGAAAACCATAGGCTTTTCAAGATTTTCACAACATGCTACCAAACGAACGTCGCGCGCGCTCATGTCGAAATATGTCGAACGCCCTTGCGCGTGTGCCGTCGCGAGAATACCCTGCAAAAATGGAACGAACTGCAGACGCGCGCGTCGTCGCGCGCGCATGCCGAAAACCTTCAAACCCATCGGTGTCGGAAGGGTTTCAGAATCGCGTGTCCAAAAAACCTACAAAAACACAAGGTTCCGCAACAAGGATTTTCAACAAAAGCGTGCGCGCGCGCTCTTGCGTCGTCGTCGTCGTCGTCGTCGTCGTCGCCGTCCTCCCTCCTCCCGCGTCGTTGTCGTCGTCGTCGTCGCCTACGTCGCTCCCTCCTCCCCTCGTCGTTGCCGTCGTCGGCGTCGCCGTCCTTCCTCCTTCTTCGTCGTTCGCGTCGTCGCCGTCCTCCCTCCTCCCTGGTCGTTGTCGTCGTTGTCGCCGTCGTCGTCCTCCCTCCTTCCTCGTTGTCTTCGTTGGCGACGTCGTCGTCGTCTTCGTCGTCGTCGGCGTCGTTGTCGTCTTCGTCGTCGTCGACGTCGGCGTCGTAGTCGTAGCCGCCGCCGCCGTCGTCGTCGTCGTCGTCGTCGTCGGCGTCGTTGACGTCGTCGTCGTCGCCGGTGTCGTCGTTATCGTCGTCGTCGGCGTCGTCATCGTCGTCGTTGTCATCGTTGTCGTCGTCGACGTCGGTGTCGTCGTCGTCGGCGGCGTCGTCGTCGTCGTCGTCGTCGGCGTCGTCGAAGGCGTTGGAGACGTCGTCGGTGTCGTCGTAGTCGTTGTCGGCGGCGTCGTCATCGTCGTTGTCGCTGCCGTCGTCGGCGTCGCTGTTGTTGCCAAGTGCCACGTGGTACCCACCGTCGCGGTCTTAAGAGATTTTGCAAACCAAGTTGCGGGTGGGTGGGTGGAATGCTTGCGCGAGCAGTGGAGTGGACAACTCACT